AGCTATTGGATAATGGACTTACAGGGGCGTGGCCTTTTCTCAGCTATTGGATAATTGACTTACAGGGGCGTGGCCTTTTTCCATATCCAGTCACTTGCAAACGTAAAATCTTGCAGTTTTTCCTAAATAATTCTTAGATGTTTTCCTTTTTAAAGTTTGCATAAAGTGTGAGGATTTTTAGTTTGACAAATTATATAAATTTGCTCCAACATCGAGTGAGAGATGGTATCCAGCATCTGAACTGCCCAGATCCAAACTTGAACCCACTTCTTCGCTGTATAATGTGAGCAAGGACGACCTCCCTCTGTCCAGGCTTCCTCATGTGTAAAATGGGGTCAGTAATGGTTACTGTGGACTGGGGGTGGCGCTCAGTGGTACAGCACATGTGTAAGGCTTTGGGCTCCCTCCCCAGCACTTGAAAATAAATGGGAAAGGGGTTGGAGAAATGGCGCAGCAGTTAAGAGCACTGGCTGCTCTTCAGAGGACCTGGACTCAATTCCCAGCACCCATATGGCTGCTCACAATTGTGTAATTCCACCTCCTGAGGATCTGGCACCTTCACACAAGATATACATACAGGCAAAACCTCGATGCACATAAAATAGAAAAAAATTAAAAAATAGAAAAAAATAAAACCAGGAAAACTAATACCATATTCCCACAGAGACGTTAAGTGTCCTGAGTCTGGCTGACTAGTTGGGCCTTTGGTTTCTTTTGTTTTTGTTCTCTTTGGCCTCTGAAGACGAGAGAGAGCAGAGCCTTGGGCTACCCTTGAGTCTCATAAAAGTGAAGTCATAAACTCCACTGAGGTGGGGCTAGCTACATGAGCAGGGCATGACTACTGCTTGGCTTCTGTGTCCCCTCCAAACAGTTAAATGTGTTCTATTGAAGAACCATCGTGCTGGGGCGGCTTCCTCCATCACTCCTCACTATAGTAACCAAACCTCTGCAGAGCTCACCAACTCAGCCAGTCTAGCTTGGCAGCTTGCTCCAGGGGTCCTGTCTTTTCCTTTTGTCTTGTTGTTGTTGTATGAGACGTGAAGCTCTAACTGACCTACAGAAGCAATCTGCCTCGGCATTATGCATCACCTCGCCAGGCCCATCTCCCTCCCTTAAGCAATGGAATGACAAGCTTTTCTGAGGATTGTAGGCCTTCCAGTTCTCATCATCACGCACAGCCAACACTTTACCTACTGGGTCATTTCCCCAGCCCAACCAGTGGAAATTTCATTTTTAACATTGGTGTGTGCAGGTGCTGTGGAAGCCAGAACATGTAGGATCCCCTGGAGCTAGGGAGTTGTGAGCTGCCTGGTGTGGATGCTACAAGTGCAGGTCCTCTGGGAGAGAAGAAAGCACACTTAAGCGCTGAGCCATCGCCCCAGCTCCAGGCGGGGACTTTCTAAGGGAGCTATTTCTTCTACAGCATGCACTTGTGTTAATGCACTCTGCTCCTCCCAGACATCATGCTGAAGTAGTATCTCCAGGCTTTACCGATGAGACAGTGGAGGCTCCAGATTCACACAGTAGCCAGGTGCAGGCCTTGTTCAGAACCTGCGTTCTTGCTGTATCTGGGATTCCTGAATCACTTTGGTACAGTGAAAATTCAGAACCAAGCTAGTATGAGGGGGTGACCCCAGCCTTTGGGGCTAGGTGAGTGGCTGCTGGGTACGGAACAGCCTCTGTTAGGAGCGATCCCCACATGAATGGCCACAATACCTCCCCAGGCTCAAGGCCAAGCTGGAGGGATGCATTGCTTTCTCTGATATGAGTTCTTGTTCTTCGCATGACAGCCAGCGGTCTACGCGCTCAGAAGACAGAACCACCAGCCTCATCTCCGTGAGAAAGCAGGCGCAGGTGCTTTTGGAAATCCCCGCAGAGATGACAGCTTGCAGTGGAGTTGTGAACTAGTTTGGAACGATGATTATGTGTGTGATTATTGCCTGCATGCATGTATTTGTGCCTGGTGCTGGGTGGGAGGCCAGAAAAGGGCATCAGTTATGATCCACCATGTAAGTGCTGGAACAGAACTCGGGTTCTCTGCAGCAGCAAGCACTCCCGACCACAGAGCCATCTCTCCAGCCCAAGAACTGGTGTCTTAACTCATCTTTTTGGGAGGATGCCCCAAACAGCTATCTGCAGACCTTTCTGAGGGAAAGATTGTGGCACTTTTCTGCCCAGTCCACTGGGTGGAGGAAGGCCCTAGCTGCAGTCCAGGTGTCTTAAAAACGATCTGTCTGTCCCTGCATAAGCAATAGTGTTCAAAGGCTGAGCTATGGGGTGACTTTGTGCAAGAGCAACAATCCAGCCAAGAACACAAGGAGTTGTTAGAGTCCAGGAAGGTGTTTTTCTCACTTTCCTTGGAGCCCGATCTGGTCTCTAGTTCATGGTCATTTCACTTTGGCCTCCCAAATGCACCATGCAATCCAGCCAGTGCTGCTCTGTACCACCTAGTGAAGTCAGTTCAGAGGGGCTGATGCTCACTTTGTAAACCTGCTTCCTGGTAATTCCTCTTACCCAGTCAGTAAACAAGAACTCCGGCGCTTTTCCTGAGAAGTCAACCACTGAAGCCCACAAGCTAAAGCAGAAAGCAGCACCACAGGAAGCCTGTGCAGCCTCCTACCTCACCCTTCCTGTGGAGGCTCAGGGAAACCAGGCCAAGTATATGGCTCAGCACACACTACACTTAACTTCAGCTCCAGGGCCCCGAGAATGCTCTCTTGACATCGGAGCCAAGGGCAATAGGAAGGCTGAACAACCTGCTGCCAAAGTCCTGGAAATCCTCTCCTAGGTCTTGGGCTAGAAACGTTAGCCCTCAAAATAGGCATGGTGAGCAGAGAAGTGACTTCCTGGAAGTCACCCAGCTCAGGCTGACCTCTTCTGTTCTGATGGTCTCGGCTTGACTAACAGTCACAGAATTCTTCTAACATGTCCTGCTTGCAGGGGAGCCTCCAGAATGTCTCACCGAGACTAGTTTGTTGTCCAGGTTTGACACATAAAGCAGATGGGTCCTGATGATATATGGAGTAACTTTATTAATAAGTTTAATGTTATTTAGCCTTTTTTGTTTTGTTTTGAGACAGGGTCCAGAGCTCACTATATAGACCAGACTGACCTTGAACTTACAGGGATCTACCTGCCTCTGCCTTTTGAGTAATCGAGGTATTTTTAGATAGGGTCTCACCAGGTAGCCCAAGCTGGTCTTGAACTCTCCTCTTTCCTCAGTTTCCCAAATGCTCAGAATACAGATATGTAGCCCCATACCCTGTCCCTTTGAAACTCTAATGAAAGTTATAAAACTAAAAACTCTCTGCATATATATAAATCTTAGGAATCCAGTTGAATTTTATTTCTGGGCTATGGGCAGACTTCATGTATAAAACACCTTTTATGTTCCTGAAGATGGGGGGGGGGTCTTGCTGTATAAACCTTTATGTTCTTGGAGATGGGAGTCTTGCTGTATAACCCAGACTGACCCTGAGCTTTGAAAATCCTTGTCTCCCAAACACTAGCACCCCAGCTATGCACCAATAATCCCAGCTAAAGAATCTTTTTCTCAACTGTCATGAATCCTGACTTCCTTGTCTCAGATTTTAGGAACAATATGACACCATCTTTAAGGATACTGGTTGAAATTCAACAACTTTGAACTTGTAAGTGTGAGACTCTGACTCGGCAATGGTGGTGGAGCACGCCTTTAATTCCAGCACTCGGGAGGCAGAGGCAGGCAGACCTCGGTGAGTTCGAGGCCAGCCTGGTCTACAGAGTGAGTTCCAGGACAGCCAGAGCTGTTACACCGAGAAACCCTGTCTTGAAAAAAGAAGAAAAGAAAGAGTGGGACTCTGAAGGTGAAAGCCGTAGCTTTATTGTTAGATGTGTGATGAGCAGGGGAGGTAACCTGGCATGGCATGTGTGGAGGTCAGCAGACAGCTTTATGGAGTGGCTTCTCCTTCCAGTTTTATGTGCGTTCCGGGGATTGAATTCAAGTTGCATGCTTTGTCGCAAGTGTTTGTGCCCACTGAGCTACCGCACAGGCCCTCTGTACAAAACGATTCTGAGAGGTATTTCCTGTGCATAAGTGTAAATTTGGAGCTAGGAATGCTGGGTGAAATTCCTGCAGTGCAGGGAGGTGCCAGGGAAGTTTCTGTGACTCTGGTAGGAAAGGTGGGGGGGATGTTTTTGTTGTTTTTATTATTGCTTATTGATTGGTTTTTGTTTGTTTTGTTTGTTTGTAGCCCTGGCTGTCCTGGAACTCGCTCTGTAGACCAGACTGGCCTCAAACACACAGAGATCACCTGCCTCTGCCTCCTAAGTACCGGGATTAAAAGTGTGCACCACCATGCCCTGCCGGCGGAAGTGAATCTTAAGGTAAAAAAAGGTTTGTTACTTCCAACTGAATCAGCACAGTACGGTCATCTTAATGCTCTGGGCAGGTCGAGTCCCCTTTTCCTAACCGGGTCTGACAGCAGGTTTGCCACGGTTCGGGATGGCTTCCCTCTGCCCACATGTCCAGACCTACCACCGGATCAAGGGACACAGGGGAGGCTCTCAGGCCACTGCCTGACTTCTGACAAGAAACAAGCAAAAGGAAACCCCAAAGCCTCAGCAACAAGGCACAGTTAAGCAGAAACTCCTAGGCCTGAGATGTAGGGGAGTGGGGCTCTGAAACGCAGCGGAGTACCGGCTGATTCCAGCTGAAGAATCAGAGAGGACGAGCTTCAGGCCGTTCCTCACCAAGCACCTGTCTCACAGGATGGCTACTTTGCTGCGGAGAGAGGTCAGAATGCTGGGGAGGGTTTAGGTCCTCCGTACTCATGTCTGCCATGCAGGGACGGCAGTCTGGGACTTCCTACTGTCAACCACATATGGGGCAGGGACCAAAGTGCTGAAAAGTTACTATGAGGCATTATCCCCAGGCAACAGCCTGCTCCCAGACCCCTCCTCAGGCAAAGGTTGTCCTGAGCACAAGGACAATGAAGGCACAGAGAGGCAAAACCTACACGCTACTATCATTGGAGCATTCATTCAACTCATTAGTTCAACAAACATTTATTAAGCGCCTATGTGTGCCAGGTCCTAGGGACCCAGAGCTGCATGGTGCTTAGGTCCTGCCCTCAAGCAGCTCACAGTCGAGGGGCAGACAGTAAACACACAAGTGACAATGTGCCAGGAAGTGTTGAGGAGAAAGTGTGACAAAGTGCTGGAGCACAAAAGGGTGACTGACAAACACTTCCTGGGCAAGGGTCAGGGAGCGCTTCACACACCAGTAAGCTCAGTGCCATGGCAGTGCCTTGCACTTCGGTGCCACATCACCGAAACCTTGAAGGCTGGTCCACAAAGGACCGGTGGACTGAATGGAAGCAAAGCCTCTTTTGCTTCTTCAGAACAACCCGCAACATCCCTGTCTGCGACTAAGTCCCTGCTGTGACTAAGGGAGCTGTTCCCTAACTTCAGGGACCAGTGAAGGAGCAGCTACCCAGAGGGCCAACTTCCAGGAGCCTCGACATGGGTTAGGGACAGAGAACGCCACTGCTTTGATCACCCCGCCCTGGGCCTCTATTCTCAATATTTCTGAGCCAGTCTGAGACTGCTTCTTAACACTGTGAAGAGGACCTTAACTCCTGTCTGTCACTAGTGTTCCTTCTCAGGTGCAGCAAGCACCAGCCAACCCTCAGGTGCCAAGCCAGCCTTGCTGGCTGCTGGCCCAACAGACCACAGCAGGAGGCCCTACCCTCACGACATTCACAGCCTCCGCACCAGCTCGATGAGCTGCTGAATGTTTTGGTTTTGGTTGGACAAGCCATTCCTGATGTTTTCTAGCAGGCATCTCTTCAATTCAAAAATGGCCTCACTGTAGCCCAGGCTCACAGTGGCCATGGGTGGTGCTCCATGCCACAGGGCTGGGATGTGCCAGACGTGCTGCCTCTCTGCCAGGCCTGCCAGTGTCCGGAAGCTGCTACCCTGCTTCTCCATGTGGGTAGCAGCCCTGCCCAGGTCGCTGGGCGGATCCAGGAGCTGCCTCCTGTCTCTCGGCTTGGGGCTGGGGACAGAGAGGTCATGAAGGTTCTGGTAGACAAACTGATAGTTGGGCATGTGCCCTGTCTTTTCTAGCCTTAGAAAAGCATGAAGAATAGCTGGTGGAATGTCCTTCATGTCAGCTAAACTGACCACAGTGACATTGCTTAGCCCCATTAGCAGCGTGGCCAAGGAAGCCTCCAGTTCGAACCTGTCTCCAGCAGAGGGCAAGGCCCCACTGATCAAACCCCCAGAGTCTATTACCAGGATTTGGTCACAGCCCAAGTCCTGGCTGAAGCCCTCAGCTACAGGGAGGAGCTGCATGAAGGATCCCCGAGGACTACAGCTCCTCCCTGTGACAAACCGCAGGCCAAACATGGTGTTAAGGAGTGTAGATTTCCCTGTGCCTGGCACCCCCAGGGCAGAGAGAACCACTAGTCGAGATCTCCTGTCTAGGCGGACATGCAGCTCCTTGAGAAGCCCAGTGACCCAGCGAACAGGGATGCTCAGGGTGGCCCCATCGACCAGCTCCAGAGGGAGCCCACCCAGCAGCAGTTCCACAGCCAAGCCCGGAAAGTGGGCAAAACGCCTCTGGCTAGCGGGCAGCCTCCCGGCCTCTACCAGGCAGCTCTCGGCCTCATAGAACTGCCCCATCTCCCGCAGGAAGTGCTCCACTCCCAAGGGCTCAGGCCAGAAGGGCTCATTCAAGTCTGAGGCCCCACCAAGTTTTGGTCTCAGGGTGAGAAGGGTCTCTGGAGGCTGTCTTGGCCGTGGCGAGCCTAGTCGAGCTAGCCCCCACTCCATCCACCTCAGGAAGTACTGCCTCTCACCCAGGGAGGGGCTGCTTATCCCCAGAATGAACTCCTGCACCCCTGAGGTGGGCTCCTGGCCATTCTGCTGCACACGGAGCTCCAGGACCCGCCGTCTCAGCTCAGCCCGGTGCTTCTCTGGGGGCTCTGAGACCCACTGGAGCTGGCAGAACTCCCTTTCGACTTGGGCTGCCTTCCTTGCAGGGTCCCCCTGCAGCCTCAGCTCATCTCTCTTGTAGGCATCCACATCCTTGATCTTCCTGATAATCTTCTCCATCCGGTCCTTTGCCTTCTGACACTCCTCAAAGTCCTCATCGACTCTGAGGCCTAACTTCCGTGCCGCATGTGCCATGTCCTCCACAGACAGCCTCCTGCAGGGAGAGCGTGCCACGCTGCATATAATTGCTCGAATCCGCCTCACAAAGCTCTCGTTGTCGGTGCTGCTGACCTTCACAAGGACATGAGAGTGGTCTATCTTCAACACGGGGATCAGCCTGTTCAGGAAGCGCAGGTTTGTGTTCCGCTTCCCTCGGTAGGGACTCAGAATGAAGTAGTACTTTGTGGTTGACTCCTTCATGGAGTACAGCAGCTTGTATTCCTTCTTACTGATGTTGTCAGTCAAAATAAACACAGCGGAGGAAACTTCTGTCAAGAGCTTGAACTGCAGCCAGTGAGACCCAATGTCACCTCTCAAGTTCAGAAAGGCCATAGGCTCTGGGAAAACATCCAGGTCCTCCTTACCACTGGGGAAAAACCAGGAGATTTCTACCAACCCATCCGCAATCTCTCGAGGATTAGTGCCTAAATTGAGGTCCCGATGCCAGAAGCAGTCCCACTGCCGGCGAGCCGGGCTGAGGATGGCATTGAGCAGTTGGGACTTGGAGTTGCTGCTGACATCCATGCGCACGAAGGCAAAGGTGGGCACCCTGGACAGGACCACGCTGTCTTCTCGAAAACTCCCAAGGCCCCGTGGGGGCTGGAAACAGCACGTCCGCACAACGCCCCGCAGGGCCCAGAGAAGAAAAGTGTGGTAGTGGTTTTCTGAATCAGGCAGTACAAGCGGGAGCGCAAACTGGCAGAGGGACATCTTCAGCAGGACCTCCTGCTGCAGAAAGGTGTCTGCAGACAGCAGGAGGGCACAGAGGAGGTCCAGTGGGTTCACAGGAGTGTCAGGCACGGGCAGCTCAGAAAAGGAGTAGATGTCATCAGCGGTGTCCTCAGCCGGGTCCCAGTACATCATCTCCTCCTCCATCTGGCTCGCCTTCTCTGCAGGCCAGGCATCTGGAGGCAGATCCAGCACCATAGTGGTGTTCCTGGCTTCAGAATTCAGGGCCTGCAGCTTCCTGAGGAAATGCCAGGGAAGGTCCTTGGGAGCCTGAGGAGCCCAGTTCTTCATGCTGTCAAAGCTGATCTGCAGGGAGTCCTGGAGGGTGAGCTTCTGTGCCTGGTACGTCTCCAGTCCCAACAAGGACAGCATTTCCTGAAGCCTGCTTCTCTCCACTGTAGGAAAAAGAAGTAAAAATGTTTAGCCTTTATTTTCAAGTCAGGGCCAGGGCCAAGGTAGAGCTGGAGAAAAGCCTAGCAGGAAGGAGTTGGAGAGGACATTCCTCAGAACAGGATTCAGGCCCAGGGGGCCCAGGCTTTGCTGGACTGACCTAAGATTGGGGTAGAAAGTAAAATCCTCCATCAATTGTGCCACCTAACTAAAACATATAAGACACTAACTGTAGGAAGGAAGATGGGCTGGCAAGATGACTCCATGGTTAGAAGTACACACTGCTCTTCCAGAGCAGAGCACAAGACCAGAGTTCATTTCTCAGGACCCTCTCCTCAGGTAGCTCACTCTACTCGTGACTCCAACTCCAGAGATCCTGCAGCCTCTGCAGGCAACGACATCCACATCCACATACCCAGACTCATAACTAAAACGAATCTACAGTCAGGCATTGTGATACATGCTTTTAACTCCAGTACCAGGGAAGCAGAGGCAGGTAGATCTCCTACAAATTCCAGGCTAGCCTGGTCTTCACAGAGCATTCCAGGCCAGCCATGGTCACACAGAAAGACCCTATCTTAAAGAAAAGAAAAGAGAGAGAGAAAAAAAATAAAGAAACAGAAAGAGAGGATAAGGAGGGAGAAAGGAAGGGAGAGGAAAGGAAGGGAGGAAGGGAGGGAGGGAGGGAGGGAGGGAGGGAGGGAGGGAGGGAGGAAGAACCAGGAAACTGAGGAGTTACATTTAAGACTTAAGAGTTCGTATTGGGGGCTGGAGAGATGGCTAAGTGGTTAAGAGCGTTGCCTGCTCTTCCAAAGGTCCCAAGTTCAATTCCCAGCAACCACATGGTGGCTCACAAACATCCGTAATGAGGTCTGGCGCCCTCTTCTGGCCTGCAGGCACACACGCAGACAGAATACTGTATACTATATATATATAAGAGTTCGTGTTAATGCAGTGACTCTTAGCTGTTCTAGGTGTCTGCAATATTTAACTCTGAGCTCAAACCTAAGTAGTTAGAATGAGCAGACATGTTACTTAGGTGCTGAGCTCCACTTCTCAGTCCTCAGACCAGCTACAAAGGTATCTACCCCCATGCTCGAGTCCAGCAAGGAATCTGGGGGCGTGGTGGAACACGCCTGGAACTCCAGAAGCTCAAACATCTGGACTAATGCAATTCAAGACCAGCACGGGATACACAGCAAAAGCCTGCCTCAAGACCAGGAGGAAAAAAACGTCACCAGGAAATTCCCATGAGAGCACAACCTCTAATCACACTCTGGGTTGTTTGGTAAATATTTTCTTGTTTTTTGTTTAATTTTTGTTAATAAACTAGAGACTATTAAAAGGAAAACAGACCCTTGTTCAGTACCCCTTTGCAAACTCAAGACCAGTAATGCCGGGTTCTGGTTTGTGTTATGATTTCGGATTTTTGTGGTGCTGAAGATGGGGAGCCTTCTGCATGCCAGGCAAATGCTCTACCATTAAGTTACACCTCCAACTTTATTCATACATCAAGATATATAAACATATACATATGTTTATATACATAAACATATATATAAACATAAACATATATATATATTTAAATTCTTATTCTTGTTTTATTTTTGTTTTCAAACAGGTTGTTCTATGTAGTCCTAGTACTCCTGGATCTCACTACGTAGCCCTCACTAAACTTAATCTATGCACACCAGGATGGTCTCAAAATTATACATCCACTTGAGCACTGGGATTAGGTGTGCACAGTACCGCACCCAATGAGTACTGATATTCTAAGACAGTCTCATTATATATGTTTGCTGTGGGATAAAGCTTTTATACATTGTAAAATTTTTCACTCATATTGGTTTAATAAAACATTGATTGGCCAGTAGCCAGGCAGGAAGTATAGGCAGGGCAGCCAGACTAAGAGAATTCTGGGAAGAGAAAAGGCAGAGATGCAGTCACCACCCAGACGCAGAGGAAGTTGAGACTGCATTACTGAGAAAAGGTACCAAGCCACATGGCTAAACATAAGTAAGAATTACAGGTTATTTATTTATTTATTTATTTATTTATTTATTTATTGTTTTTCAAGACAGGGTTTCTCTGTACTTTTGGAGCCTGTCCTGGAACTAGCTCTTGTAGACCAGGCTGGTCTTGAACTCATAGAGATCCACCTGCCTCTGCCTCCCAAGTGTTGGGATCAAAGGTGTGTGCCACCACTGTCTGGCTAGAATTATGGGTTAAGTTGTAAGAGCTAATTAATAATAAGCCTGAGCTAATAAGTCAAACAGTTTATAATTAATATAAGTCTCTGTATTGTTTCTTTGGGACTAAATGGCTGCGGGACACATTCTTGTCTCAAAACTGTTATGAGTGTACATGTAAACTATCACTCCCTGTATAATTACTTGGGTTTTGGTGACTATGAAGGATATTTTGGTTATCAACTTTACTACATCTGAAATTTAACTAAAACCAAAAAAACGGAGGGCACACCTGAAAGAATTTTTTGCTTAATTTTAAATGGGAAAATCCACTTCTAATCTGGATCTTTATGGGTTTGAGGTGGTAAGACACACCTTTAATCCAGATCTCTTAAGGTGGGAAGACCAACCTCCAATCTGGACCAAATCTTCTACTGGAAGCCTATATAGGGACACGAAAGGAGGAAGTTTCTGCTGTTTGCCTGCTGTTCTCACCCTACTAGCAAGTCCATTTCTTCACTTGCATTAGAATTACTTCTTTGGGATTCTGGCATATACTGAAGACTGAGACATCCAGCCTTATGGATTGACCAACTACTGGTCAATCTTTGGACCATCTGTTCATAGGCAGCCAGTGTCGGATTAGCTGGACCACAGCCTACAAGCCATTCTAATAAATCCTTTTTCTTTATATAATTATAATATTTAATATTAATATATAATTTATGTAAAGGTTCATTCTGTAAGTTCTGTTACTCTAGAGAACCCTGACTAATGCAGTGACAATAAGACATCTGGTGTTGACTGATGCCTGGTGGACACTGAATGTCACCCTGTATAATGCAAACTTTACAAGTTAATGATCATAAAATTTCTAACTGTATCCAGATCTTGGCCTGGCAACTTACCAATGTTCATACCCAATGTAAGTGGTTCACTTCTTATTTATTTATGTATTTGCAGTACTGAAATGGAACCAACATGCTAGGCAATATTTCACCACTGAGCTATATTCCTAGCTCTTTTTCTTATTCTTTAACGAAGAAGGTGGGGAGGAGGGGATGGTGTTCCCCAGTCTTGTCTCAAATCTGTGAATAGATTCAATCTTTCTGCATCTACCTTGGGACTACAGGCATATAATACCATCAGTGTCCAATAACATTGATTTTAAGGCTCAGACTTCTAAACTTATTTGTACAGGTGAGCTATGGCACATGTCTAGAGGTGAGAGAAAAACCTATAGGAGTCCTGGGGATCAAACTTTGGTCATCAGGCTTGGTAGTTAGCACTTTTACCTCTGAGCCATCTTGCCAGCTCAGGGCTCTGAGTTCTACAGCAATATGGCTGAAGGATCACTTGAGAAGTTATGAGGGGAGGGGGTGGACGCTGTAAATTTGTTTTAAAGACAGAACAACCAGCTGGGAATATGGCTCAGCAGATAAACCACTGCCTCCAAACCTGCTGACCTGGTAATATGGCTCAGCAGATAAACCACTGCCTCCAAACCTGCTGACCTGAGTTTGATTCCTGGTATCCACATGGCAGAAGGAGAAAACAGATCCTCAAATTTTAATTTTAAAAAAGATTTATTTTTCTTTTATGTATATGTGTATTTTGACTGTGTATTATATGCATGCAGTACCCAAAGAGGCCAGAAGAGGGCATCAGATCCTTCTGGAACTGGAGTAACAGAGAGCTATTAGCCACTTATAACTAACTTAAACTAACTTGGTTTATAGCCAAGTTAGTGCTATAAACCAAACCCAGGTTCTCTGCAAGAGCAACAAGTGCTCTTAACCACTGAGTCATCTCTCCAGCCCAAAATAAATATAATTATAAAATAAATAAAAACAGAAAAACTACACAGGAAGACTGTGCTTTGGCAGAAAATCTACATAACTATTACTCAGGTTTCCCTGTTATGCCTAAATGAAGCCAGGAATATACAACAACCATTGTTGCTTAAACAGCATGATCATCAAAGCAACTTGGGAAAACCACAAAAAAGTAAACTCATTCTACATATGTACTCATACCCTTAGGAGACCATTCAGCAACTCTGGGCCCAAGTTTGCCAATATGCAAATGAAGCTATTGGTAGAGTTCCTAAATTTTGTTAACTGGACATCAGAATCACTTCAGGAACTTGCTAAAAATAAGATACATGGGGATGCCTCCACTCACAAAGACAGTAACTCACGGTGACAGTATAAGTAAGTTAAAGGAATAACTTGTTACTCCATAGTAAGTTCCCAGTGGTTTGGTTTTTAGCAACATTACTAATAGTTCATAAAGGGGTGATAGACAAGAAGGGTCTAGAGTCAAATAGCCAAGATGATTTGATACAGACAAGTTTAAGAATTAGCCACCTATAGGGTACCTTCCTCCAATAGAATGGAAAGCTGAAAAGGAAAGAGAAATGTATACCTGTTGGGAAGTCATTGTCCTGAGCCTCGTTTGCACCATCTATGAGAAAAAGCAAAGGAAAATAAAGGGGTTAATCTAATAATTTGAAATTAAAGTCAAATAGACTGACAGAAAGTAAATTAAGGGAAACAAATCCAAACCCTCTTTTTTAAAAACCAAAACTGTAATTCCTAGAAATTATAACAACATAAAACCATCTAGGCCTAGCTGGTTTTCACTTTGCATTTATACCCTCACCTTCCCAACCCAGTTTGTCCTAAGTCCCACAGTTTCTACCTCCATAATGGAACCCGCAGTCATCTCCTTCCATTTCTCTCCATTCCAAATCTAGAAAGAAAGGGTACAGACATTCACTTCATCAGCAATTAGAGCCTTTCTACCAAGGAGTCTGCAGCAGCTTCTTTCTGCTGACTGTTGGGACTGCAATGAGCATTCCTCAAATACTCAGGAGCAGAAGTGTCCCCAGGTTAGGAATAAGCCAAGCTTAAACAGAAACAAAGACTGGAAAGAAAGCTTCAGCTCTAATATGTTTATTTTTAATCAACCTTATGATCTCCCCGTAATTAATAGATAACCCTTTCTGGGTTTGTGTTGAGAGTTTCTCTGCATAGCACTAGTTGTTCTGCAGACCAGCTGGCCTCAAACTCACAGAGATCTACTTGCCTCGCCTCCAAACTGCTGGGATAAATCTAACATTTTAAACTGTCTCTTTTGATAATTTTTCTGGAAAAAGAGAGAAATAAAGGGGGGTGGCTATTGGAAACAGGATGATTTAAATAAAAACACAAAGGACTCAAGAATCAAATCACAATGTCCAGAAATTAAAAACATACTTACTCAAAGTGAAAATAAGAGTCTAGAAAATAATTTTTCCCAAAGAATTCAAAATTTTGTATAAAGAGAAAAAATAACCAGAGAAGAAAATAATAGCTAAGTATAGGAGTTGGAGAGATAGCTCAGAGGTTAAAAGCACTTGATGCTCTTGCAGAGAGGGCCAAGGTTCAGTTCCTACAAGGAGGTTCATAACTGTCTATGACCCCAGTTCCAGGGAAACAATACCCTTCTTTGGCCTCTGTGGGCACTGCACACACATAGTGTACATAAATGCAGAAAAATAAACATATAATTTTGGTTTTGATGCTTTTGTTTTATTTATTTATTTATTTATTTATTTTTGAGGCAGGGTCTCCATGTAGCTCTGGAAGTCCTGGAACTTGCTATGAGGTAAAGTTGGCCTCACACTCACAGAGATCCCTTTGCTCTGGTTCCTGAGTGCTGGGATTACAGGACTATGCAAGGCTGGTGGTTTTTTTTTTTAAGAGGCTGGCCTGATGGCACATGTCTGTAATCCTAGGCTGCCCCTCGGGAAAGTAGCAAGTTAAAGGAGTAATTGGATTACACTGAGTTTCAGACCAATATTTGCAATTTAACAAACTCTGTTTTAATAAAACAGAAAGGCGAGGAAGAGGACTGTGACTCAGGGGTAAGCCCGACACAGCAGGTCTTAGGGGCACAAGGGCAGACCATGGCCCAGCCTCTACCATGGAACTCACATCCTGTAAGAACTGTCCCAAGCCCAGGTGGAGGAACTGAAAGTGGAGCGCTGTGAGCCACAAGCATGATACAGTAACTGCAGCTAGCAGACCACTAGGCAGACTCACAAATGAGAAACCCAACCTGCAGAGCTTCAGGAACACCGGTCTTTTGAATAGTTGCTGTCAATTCTGTAAACATCTTGTGAAGCCATAGCCTTCCTCCTTTCCATAGTGGGACTCATCCCGAAACATTCCAGCAGTGTGTAAATCATCCCTTAGACATGACTTTTCCTGTTCTGGCAATTGGATGGGGCCCTGGTGTGAAAGCATTCACTCAACCAAACCTTATTGACTGCACTTCTGACAAGGAAGGGACCTTTGCTCTGGACCACTTGGTAACCTCAATGGAACAGGCATTGAGCAGGGAGAATAGCACATCTACCTTTACTGATAAACAGGTCTGGGCAGCCCTAAAATCTCCAACAGCCAACTCAGGAGAGTACAACCTACTGGTCTTTGCTCTACCCTAACAAGCTATTAATATTCCATACTTACTTCCATCTCAATTTCACTGACACAAGATCTTAGTCTAGAAAATTAACTGTTTGTGCCTTTACCCCTAGAAATACAGGAAAAAAAGCTGCCCCAGAGGAAGGAATGCCTTCTCACCTGGGTGCCAGAGGATACAGCACCCCCAGTGCACCCTGTTGGCCCCGGGGGGCGGGGGTAAGCACCATCTGCTTTCCTTCTGCAGCTTATGCTGGTTGCCGTGGTTACCACAATACTGTGTTCCCAGCCACCACTGAAACAGAAGTGCTCAGAAAGTGCAGCAGCACTGCGGCGTTTTTCTCTACTATAATCACAGACTTCTAGCCTAACCAGTTAGTACACAAAACCCCTTTTCCCCTCTTAGGATTCTGTACTGATTTAATCCACAGGGCAGGTATCTACAGCCATGCCCGCTCTGAGACAGGAGTAAGACAACTGGTGCCTACCTCATCCATCTTGCTAGCCCTGAGAAATGCATACTTAGCATCACTGTTATTTACCAGAGAATTGTTCACTATGTCTGTGTGGATATATAAACTGGAAACCATTGGGATTGGGAGGAACATTGAAGAGAAACATTGAAAGGGAACCGCAAGAAACATGGAGGGGAACATTGAGGGCACTGGGGGGAGCACAGGAGAAATAAATAAACATATGTGAGTTAATTTATTTACCCTCAGCCCTTTTTAGTCAGTTTTCACCTGCTATAGCTTTCTTTCTAAATCCTGAGAGGTTTAGGGGGGCTGACCCCCCAACATAAGCCTCAACAGTGGAGTATTAAAGCACTCTCACTGAACAAAGTGATCCTTCTCTCCCGGTTATTATAGTACCTAACACATGCTTGCTAAGTTTCCATCAAGACGTAGCATATTTGTTACTGAGCAGTAAATAAACATCTACCATGTGACACCTCAAGGCTGTTAATACTGGTTAAAGCTCATAGGTGGTCCCTATTAACAAATTAACTTAAAATGGATAAACAATATAAACGTTAGAATTAAAAATCATGAAACTCAAAGCCAGGTGGTGGTGGCACTAACCTTTAATCCCAGCACTCAGAGGCAAAGAGGCAGGTGGATCACTGAGTTCAAGGCCAGCCTGGTCGACAGAGCAAATTCCTGGATATCAGAACTACACAGAGAAATCCTGTCTTGAACCCTACCCCACGGCCCAAAATCATGAAACTCTTAGAAGACATGTGAGTAAATCTTCGTAACCTTGGACTTCATGCTAGATTCTTTGATGTGATACTAAAGAGGCAGCTGACAAAAGCAAAAGATAAGTAAAAACATTGTGCATCTAAGGAAAATATTGAGAAAGTGAAAATAGACAGGCATTGTGGCTACACCTTTAGTTCCTGTACTCAGAAGCAAAAGCAGACAGACCTCTGTGAGTCTGAGGCCAGTCTGGTCTACAATGTAAGTTCCAAGCCAATCAGAGCTATTTAGTGAGAACCTGTCTTTAAAAAAAAAAAAAAAAAAAAAAAAAAGTGAAAGCCTGGTGTTGGAGGCTCATGCCTTTAATCCCAGCACTCGGGAGGCAGAGGCAGACAAATCTCTGTGAGTTCGAGGCCGGCCTGGTGTACAGAGTGAGTTCCAAGAAGGCCAGAGCTACACAGAGAAACCCTGTCTTGAAAAAAGTAAAAGCAGAGCTGGGAATGTACTCAACGATACAGTACTCTATACTTTGAGGCCCTGGGTTTGAGTCCTAGCAGCAAAAACAACAACAAAACACACAACACACACACACACACACACACATAGTGAGTGGGTGGTAAACACAAAGGGACAAAATATTTACATATCGTATACCTGTATCTCCAGTAAAGGTCTAGTATTTGCACAACTTACAGCTTTATAAGAAAAAAAAAACAATAACGTCAATGAAGTACGCAAAGATTTGAACATCTTAAGATGGAATCTTTTCTACAGAGAGAAACAAAGCCTTGAGCTTGTTTGAGAGGTCCAGAGTAACCCCAGCCCAGGAAGAGTGCAGACTCCAGAACCCCAACAGACAGACGAAACCTAGCTATTTCAAAATGGGCCCAAGTCTAGTTTTACCTGCGATTGCCACGGATGTTTGGCTGTCTGAAGGTTTTACTTCTGGGGCCACTTCTCCCAGATCTGAATGCCTGAAAATTTTTCAGAAGAAAATTATCAATAAAATAATACACTACCACTTTCATCTAATCAAATTTGCTGCATATAAATAACTTTTGGGGAGCTTTTAAGAACTCTAACTCAGGCTGTTGAAATCATTCAGTGGTGAAGAACACATACTACTCTTCTGCAGGCTCCCGGCACCCACACATACACATACAAGAATAAAATCTTTTAAAACTACAAATTCTGGATCCATCGCAGATCCATGAAATAAGACCCTCTGTGAGCTGGTCCTGGGCATCTCTGCTTCTGAAGTATTCTTTATGACTCCAATGTACTGTCTAATGGAGATACACTAGTCTGTAAATAGCACCAGAGCTGCTGGCCACTCAGAAAGACTTAAAGACATACATACCCTTTGACCAGTAACTCCACTTCTATCCTAAGGGAAAAATGAAGACTTAGTTACAAAGATGTTCATGTGACCTTGCCATTCTATAGCAAAAGCTATCAAAGCCCAGCAACAGAATCACAGTCCTGTTCAGCAATCAATACACAAGAGTCTATGGGCTTCTTATTGTGAGTAGAGCAACTTTAGGAGAACTATTATGGAAAAACACTAAAGGCATGCCAGTTAGTAGGGAATAAGTTAGAGGATAATGTAATATAAAGATGATTAAATTATGGACGTTTAGAGAGAGCTCTAGAAATGTTCATCCAAAAATGTCTATAGTGTAGAGCTGTGTGTGGTAGCGCACACCTGGAACCCGGCACTCAAGGTGCTGAGGAGGGGATCTCAGGTTCAAAGTCAGCTTGGTTAACACAGCAAGACCCTGTCTCAAACAAACAAACAGTGTGGGCAAGAAAGGGTCATCATTTTTGTATGTTTTCATTTTGTGCACGTGTGTGGCTGAGGTACAAATCCAGGGCACCCACATGTTAAATGCTCTACCACTAATCTATAACCCCCCAACCCAACACTACAGAAGCTGAGGTAGGAGAATTGCAAGTTCCAAGCCCAAACAAGGCTACAAAGATGGACCCTGTATTCAAAAAAAAATTTTTAAATCATTTTAGGTGTATCATAGAAACAGCAAACAGGAGCCAGAGACCGTTCAGCAGGCAAAAGGGCTTGCCACACAAACTGACACCTGAGTTCCACCCTGACAACCCATGGAAGCAGCTAGATGTAGCAGCACCCCTAGACCCTAGAATTCCTCTGGCAAGAGGTGAGACTTAAGGCAGTCTACGGTAACAAAAAGGACAGCAACAGCAGAGTACAGACCCCCATCTCAAAAGCAAGATGGAAGAAGAAAGCAGACTCCTGAAAAGCTGTCCTCTGACTTCCACATGTGCACGAGAGTGCCTTACATACATATGCACATAATACATAACACACACCCATGAACACACATGTACATGTGACATACACACATACATGCATACATACATGCACACACACACAAACACAAGTGCATACATGCATGCACACACACATTTTTTTAAAAAAGAGCGCAAGCAGCCAGGCGGTGGTGGTACACACCTTTAATCCCAGCTGGGGGCAGGGAGGGCAGTATGGACACAGACACAGAAGCAGGTGGATCTGAGTTTGAGGCCAGCCTGGTCTACAGAACGAATTTCAGGACAGTCAGGGCTACACAGAGAAATCTAGAAGAAGAAAACAACAACAACAACAAAAGAGAGAGAGAGGGAAGAGAGAGAGAAGAAAAGTGGGAACAAGCAAACCTGAGGGTAAAGGTTCTGACTGAAGGTGAATACATGAATACTGGGCATCCATACTCAGATGTGTGCACACGCCTATATCCATGTATGTCTGTTTATACATGTGTGTTTCCTCTCTGGCTGAAAGAGTCGGCAAGCACAGACAGAGCGGAGCTATGAGCATGTCATTCTTCACTGTCACTTCTTATGAGAGAACTCAGGACTTCTTGGAGATGCTGGCTAACACCATGACTGAGGGAGAGAAGAGGACCCAATCATTTAGGTGTAGATGAACAGAAACTCTACAAAGTCTTGGGGATGTCTCTGAATTCATGCAGCTGCTCAAGTGATGTGGGAAGTCCTGTATGTGTATTGCTTTTATTGGTTGATAAAGAAGCTGCTTTCGGCCAATGACTTAACAAGATACAGCCAGACTGGGAGAGATATAGAGACAGAGAGTAGCTGCCGCTGGAGACAGACACCTCCTCTGGAGCCTCCAAAACTTCGTCAGTAGGCCACGGCTGTGTGTTGATACGCAGATTAATAGAAATGGGTTAATTTAAGATATGAGTTTGCCAGAAGTACACTTAAACTATTGGTCAAACAGTATTTCAAATAATATGGTTTCTGTGTGGTTATTTCAAGCCTGGGCAGCCAGGAACGAACGAACAGCCTCCAACTACACTCAAGAGATTCCCATTGACCAAAATTGGAATAACATGAGCAGGAAAAGAATAAAATATAATCAGTAAAATGACAGAGCTGGAGCGACGGCTCAGTGACTAGGAGCACATGCTGCTCTTGTGGAGGACCTGGGTTCTATTCCCAGCACCCATATGGTGGCTCACAACCATCCACAGCTCCAGTTTCAGGGGTCCTCTTCTAACACCAAGCAGACATATGGTGCACATGATACATATATGCAGGAAAAACATTCATATGTATAAATAAATCTAAAAAAGAAAAAACACTGAAAACCAATTCAGAAGTGAGGGTGCATGCCTTTAATCCCAGCATGCAGAAGGCAGAGGCAAGGAGATCTTTGTGAATTAACCTACGGCTTCATAGTGAGATCCTGTCTCAGAACAAATATACAAGGGAAACAAAACAAAATCCTGAAAAGCAAATGGATTTGTCCATATAGGTAATAAATAGCTCAAGCACTCTGGCTCACAGAATAATAATAAAAGTGAAAGCATTTCAACATTAACTGTGCCATCAAGCCCAGCAGTGATGGCGCACACCTTAAATCCTAGTACTTGGGAGACAGAGGCAAAGGCAGGTGGATCTCTGAGTTTGAGGTCAGTCCAGTCTACAGAATAAGTTCCAGGACAGCCAGGACTACACAGAGAAACACTGTCTACAAACAAACAAACAAACAAACAAACAAAGAACAGTACTACCCTTCAACTGTTGAAATCAGAATAGTGTCAAGTCAAAGTGAAGGGCCAGCAGGGCTAATGGGGGACAAGCTGTCTGCTCAGTCCTAGAGTGTCCCTAAGATGTGCAGGGAGAAAACAATAGCGGTAATTGCCATAGAGCTCAAGTGATACTTCCTGAGTTGATCCAAACTAATCTTAACAATGAAGCCAGGCCTTAGTGTGCACCCACTGTGGCCTCTAAGTGTTCTGTCCAAGACGGTAGAACCAGGCCATAACAAACTGAAAACAAAGGATATTATACCAGAGGGTGAGAGAGAAAGCTTCCAGAAAACCAAGCACAACAGCTGATCCTAGATTATATCCTGAAGAAGAAATTTCAGGGCAAAATAAAAATGAAATATGTGTCCAGTCAATGTTAACTATGCTGTGGTTATATAACAGAATATCTTATTTCTTAGGAAAAAGAGACTGAAAGGCTTAAGGGGGGAAAGTACCAGGAAGAAAGCAACTGACTCTCAGGCCGAATGTACTTGGTACCTCAAAGTTCATTATGCCCAAAGCCTAAAACCAACGTGATGGTATTTGGAGTAGGGTTTTGGAAGGTGATTAGAAAAGCTCTCAAGAATGGGATTATTAAGTAACAAAAGAGGTCCTCAAAAAAAAAAAAACAAGAAAGAAAGAAAGAAAGAAAGAAAGAAAGAAAGAAAGAAAGAAAAAAGGAGAGTCTGGCTGGGATGTAGGTCAGTGGTGGAGCACTTGCATGGCATGTGCAAGGCCCTGGTCTGAGGGCAGGACGACAAGTGAGACAGAAAGGAACAGAGTAAAATGATGCAGGAGGTCAGCAAGATGCTCATAGGACTAAGGTACTTGCTGCTAGGCCTGACAACCTGAGCACAACCTGAGCACATCAGCATGATGGAAGGAGAGAACGAGCTGTCCCGACTTCCACATGCTTGCATGCTTACATGTGTACACACAGGTACATATGCACTCATGCATGTGCACATACACACTAAATAAATACAACATAAATTTAGTGTGTCTGGTTAAACACAGTTACTCAGAACAAAAGCTGCAGGCTTGGCTTGGAGGTTCAAAGACATTGCCAGAGAATCTCAGGCAGGGCTAAGCCAGGCAGCAGATTTTCTACAGCTCAGGACTTTGGTCCAGCCATGTCCCAGGACTAGACACTCACCCCTAGGACCTATATTCTGTCCAGCACTCAGGACAGTAATCTGACTTCACTCCTTTCTGTTCTACACAAGGAAACGGTAAGCACACAGCAGTCAAAGGATGGCCTCGCAATCGTGCTCATAGAAGAGTGTCTGTTGGCAAGTTCTGGGCTTCGATTCCTGCTGGCTAACCATGTCACAACTGGGATGTGCAAACCATGGTTTGCAGGTCCACTGCTGCTCCTGAAGTATCAGGTTTAACTGGAGGCAGAGTCAGCCTTGTTGCTAATGCCTTTCAGTCTACAGCTTCACTAAATGCACAATGTCCTCTAGCAGTTTAACAGACTGGTTGTGCCCCTCAAAGTACTCACGTCGCAGTTTCCCCCCAGTGATTATATCTGGACTTGAGATCTATAAGTAACTTAAGATCAAGGCAGGCTACAAGGTGAGGCCTTCATGTGATAGGATGGGTGACCTCTAAAGAGGGCCACTCTCCCCTGCAGACACAGAAATAAGGCCCTTACCAGAAACCAAATCTCATGAACCTAATCGGCTATCTCAAGATCTGTGAGAAGAGTAGTCAAAGCTGTGATTGCATGTCTATGGCATCTTACAGCAGCTCATGTGGCTCCCAAACCACACTACAAGGAGGAAAGCAGGGCTCAGAGAAGTGTGCCCACATTATCAAATATGGCTGGGACCCGAACATGAGCTGCTTCCTTTCTAGCTCTGTTACTAATAATTTTACAAAACTTTTGTTTCATCTTTTTTTTTTTCTTATGGTGCTGAGAGTTGACAAGCATAGCTAAGTACAGGCACAGGATGTGTACCAATCAGCCTGCAGTAGGCTCATGTACCAATCAGCCTACAGTGGGCACGTGTACCAATCAGCCTACAGTGGGCACAAACGAACAAAGGAGCTTGACTTAGAGTAAGCACAGAGAACCACTCACCAACTGTAAACACTAGGAGTTACTAACTGCTTTGCATAATAAAGAACGTCTCTATTTTTGAAGTTCCCTTCCCCTTATGCCCTACATTTCCAGAAAGAGACAGGAAAGCCTAAGGTTCCCTCTTCCTTTGGTGTTAACTGGGGACCCTCAACTTAAAGCAAAACAATATCCTAGGACATTCGCTCTGAGATATAAATGTTTAAAAACCCTGTG